ACAACGGTAACTGCAGGCTGGGTCCCGAGTGCGGTAACCGAAATTTCGAGGGCCTCAAGCACCGGACCAAGGCCGGAGGCAAGTATAACATTGGAGTCGAAGTCATCAAGACAGCAGATCGTGGATATGGCGTCCGCAGCAATCGCTCCTTCGAGCCCAACCAGATCATTGTAGAGTACACCGGCGAGATCCTCACCCAGCTTGAGTGCGAGAAGAGGATGAGAACAGTATACAAAAACAATGATGTATGTGCCCTTTGTCACTCCTGCTTTACTATTTATTGACTTAATCAACCAGTGTTATTATCTCATGTACTTTGATCAAAATATGATCATTGATGCTACTCGCGGGTCTATTGCTCGCTTTGTTAACCATGCCTGTGAGCCAAACTGCCGTATGGAGAAATGGACGGTTGCTGGCAAGCCACGCATGGCACTCTTCGCTGGAGATCGGGGAGTCTCCACAGGGGAGGAATTGAGCTATGACTACAATTTTGAGTGAGATTTATGCATATCAAGCCACTTGACCATGTGCTAATACTATATCAGTCCTTACTCTAACAAGAATGTTCAACAATGTCGCTGTGGATCAGCAAACTGTCGAGGCTTCCTTGGTCCACGGCTGAAGGAGAAGCAGCAACGTGCCAAAGAACTCGAGAAACGAAAATCCGAAGGAAGTCCAAAGAAGGCAACTTCAAAAAAGGTCATCGGTAAGAAGCGAAAGGTCTCAGAAGAATCCGACAGCGACGAAAGTGATGACTCTCGTCAAGGCAAAAAGCGCAAGATGATCAAGTCCAAGACCATCAAGGCTAGCGTGAAAAAGGCCATGGCTACCGTTCGTGGGAAGAAGACAACCAAGACAACGGCAAAGGGCAAAACCACAACTGCCGTCAAGTCCAAGACCAACGTCAAGCTACCAACCGTCAAAGCCACAGGCCGAATCAAGGCGACTGTGCGTGCTCCCCGATCTAACAAGGCAGCCAAGGAAACTCTGGCTTCTCCCAAGAAGACAACATCCCAGCTCAAGCGGCCTTCTGCTGAGACCAAGAAGCAAATTCTCGCTGCTGCTTCCAAAGGCTCCGGGCCTTCTCCTCGCAAGCCTGCGAGAAAGGCCCCGTCCAAGGGTCCTGTCAAGGCCAAGAAGCCCACTCCTAAGGCTAAAAGCACTAAAGGGGGCTTTGGCAAGGGAGTCAAAAGTGCGGCTCGGCGCGTTATGAAGTCTGTCAAGGGAGCAAAGAAATAATTAACGGTCGTTACTTCTTCTTTGTGAGCTTTTCTGGACTTCTTTCAATCGAAAGGACCGAACACGGCCGTCTTTGTGGCAATCTCGCTGTCAACAGCTGGGAAGTGCCTTTTTGAATCCCTTCGGCTTATATTCTCTTTTCTATTGACCTTGACGCTTCTGTGACCCCTTGGTCTATTCTTTCTATTCTATTTGATAATTTTTTCTGGGTAATCTTTTTTATTCTTTCTACTTTGGCTAAAAATTCGTGTTTGGCAAATTTCCCCCTTGTACGACATCCCCCGATCTCCCTAAAATGGCGTTTTTACTTGCCCTCTTTTAGTTTTTCTATTTCCGTTTGCATTTTATTTTTACTGTGGCTTCATGATTCCTTTGATTTATGCGTCATGGTTATGAAAGTGAGAGATTGCTCTGGGCTGAATGGTGATATAGCTAGGGTAGATGCCTCTTAAATTCAACATGGGTTTCCCTAGAATTCCTAGTCTCTGTAGATTTAAGTAGAGTACTTTATAACTGGATGCAGTTACTAGGAATTTGTCCATCTCTAAGAAATGTAAAAAATGTAAGACTTGGTTCTATATATTTGAACTGATCACCTGTTCAAACCCCATTTAAAATCATCCACAAGCGAGGTTTTGGTCTACGCCATGGCCTATTCATTGATTATAATGTAGAAAGTGCAGTTCTTGATCATCAAACCAAATCTATTGGCAACTTAAAACTATCTAAGCCAGGGGAATCCATAGAAAAAACAAGCCCACGAATAAAAGCCAGTACATTCTTTTTTTCATGTACGGCAAAACATATATAATCGAAACAAACCTCACGCAACCTTATAGGAAATTACTGACGCTCCAGGAAACCCTGGCTCTCCAAAACGAGAATGATCTCATGCACAATGCTGCGCACACTCTGCTTGGAGAAGTCCACAACAAGATCAGCCTTCTCGGGAGTCTCATAGGGGTCATCGACACCAGTGAAGCCCTTGATCTCGCCACGACGAGCAGCAGCGTAGATGCCGCGCTTGTCGGACGATTCGCAGTGCTCGAGGGGAGTGGCGACGTGAACCAAGAAGAAGGAACCAGCCTGGGAGACGGCATCGCGAGCGAACTTGCGGGACTCCTCGTAGGGAGCAATGGGGGCAGCGATGACAGCGGCACCAGCGCGGGTAAGCTCGGTGGCCACGAAGGCAATGCGCTGGATGTTGGTGTGGCGGTCCTCGCGGGTGAAGCCCAGCTCGGACGAGAGCTCGTGGCGGACGGTGTCACCCAGCAACAAGGAGACGGAACGACCACCCTGCTGGTTCAGAGTAACCTGCAAAGCACGCGCGATGGCGTCCTTGCCGGAGTTCATGTAACCAGTCAGGAAGATGGTGAAACCCTGGGTAGCGCGAGGGGGGTTGGACTCGCGCAGAATCTTGACAACCTCGGGGTAAGAGAACCACTCGGGGATGTGGGCGCCGGAGCGCAGACGACGGCGGAGCTCGGTACCGGAGATGTTGAGGGTCTTGACGCCAGCGGGGACCTGGTCAACGGGGCGGTACTCATCGGTGTCGGGGAGGTAGGTAACCATCTGGAACTCGACGACCTCGATGCCGAGCTCGGTCTTGTACTTCTCGACAGCGTGCTGGGCATCGTAGGGGCCGTAGAAATCCTCGCCCTTGGAGTTGGAGCCAGGACCGGCGTGGTCACGACCGACAATGAAGTGGGTCGCACCATGATTCTTGCGGATGATGGCGTGCCAGATGGCCTCACGGGGACCACCCATACGCATGGCCAGACCGAGAAGACCCAGGACGGCCATGCCGTTGGGGTAGCGGGGAAGGAGAGCCTCATAGGCGCGGACACGGGTGAAGTGGTCAATGTCACCGGGCTTGGTGAGACCGACAACGGGGTGGATCAGGACATTGGCCTGACGGGAACGAGCCGCGCGGACAGTCAGCTCACGGTGAGCACGGTGCATGGGGTTACGGGTCTGGAAAGCGACGACACGGGACCAGCCCAGTTTGTCGAAGTGGACGCGCAACTCTGCGGGGGTGTCTGCGAAGATTTATTAGCCAAGTTCAAGAGCAGATGGGCAATTGAACATACAGCGGAGGGCGACATAGTCGTAGTGGTTCAGCTTGTTAACGGCCTCGATCTTGCCACCAATGTAGAACTCCTCGACGGAGTTGTTCAAGTACACGATAGCCGGGTGCTCTGGGTCACCGCCAAAGACGAGCTTAGCCTCTCTAGTCCTAAATTAGGGGAGACAACACGTCAGCGAGCCCCACTATAGAACCACATCGACTCATTGGGTAAGGATTCGAGGTTGACATCAAACACCCGAAATAATGATAAAACAAGTTGTCCAGGAATACCAAATAAGGATCGACAGTGCGACCCGTTCCAAACGTTCAAATTGAGGGAAAAGAGGGGGAAAAAACTCACTTGTCAGGGCGGTAAATGTCGTCAATGGTAAGAATAGCCAAGTTACGGTCATCACGGAAATCACGCAGAGTGATGCGAGAACCAGCTTGGAGCTTCTTCTCGTCGATCACCTGTTGGCTGGCATCGAGAGTAATGGGCATGGAAAACACATTGCCATCAGCAAGGCGGTTATCCTCACAGACACTATGCACATTGTCAGCTGCCGCTGCTATAGGTGTTCACCCTGAATGAGGGATTTCTCATTCCAATGGGATCATGCGTGTCACACATACCGGTCGTAGTCTGCCTGGTTCATGAAACCTGCATGAGAGATTAGTTATTGCCCCTCTATGCGCATGTCCCCAAAAAGAGGAACATTTGAATGTCCAAAAAGTAACAATTGCACTTACCCTCTAGAGGAGAGAAACCTCCGTTCATAATCAACTCGAGATCACACAGCTGGCGCTCGGTGAGCACTACAGCGGGGAGAGTCTCGGCCTCAGCGGCGAGCTCGACTTGGCGGGGAGCATCGCGGGCGAGAAGGTCCTTGAGGACACCACCGTGGGGGGCGTTGGCCATAATGAATATAAGAGGTTAACGAAAATAAAATGAAATAGAGAGAGAAGAAAGAAGAGGGAGAAAGGTTGCTTATCAAGAAATTTCCATTTGGAGGGGTGTGGAATTGCACCATCCACATCCAACAGAAGTCGTCAACAAGTGGAGACAGTGGAAGTCTTGGCTTTTCGATTTCAACGGGGTACAGGCCAGCTTTTCGACCATATTACGTTGTTATTATGGAGCTTTAGGGCTATTATTCTAAGATGGAAAATTCCAGTTTGAATTCTCTATTAGTAATTTAATAAGAGCATATTTACGTCTGATGTCCCCTGGCGGAATCATGATCTATATTGGACATTGTAGGGATTTCCAGAGTTTCAAATTTTCAGGGGCAAATAGACGATCCTTTTGATTAAGATCATCATAGAGACATGGTTGATTCTAAAGAAAGATCATATAGTACGTTGTAGTACGTTATAGTACGTGGAATACTTTGATCATGAATGCTATATAGTAGAACGCTATACAGGAAATCTAAAACCGTCTTAGCTTGACGCCACAATTGCAGAGGCTGATGTCACGTGATGTATCACGTCACCTCCGCGCGGAATCACGACATTGTTTTACCCAATTAAGAAAGGATCGGCCGGATCTGAAAAGCCTAAATCCGGATTACATACTCCAATGCCAAGGCCTGGCCTAACTAGTTAACTAGTTAATGTAGAATAGAATGTTATGTAATTAAATAACTCCAGGTATAAACACTCTATATACTCCCTTTCCAACGTCTTTTCACTGAGCCTTCACCGTGCTATTGGGAAGCGTGATGGTCAATTTCTCAAAATCCACATCAAACGCCCCCACCTTCATGGAAGGGTGAGTTGCGTTTGTATAGGAATCGACCAGGTATCCTTGGATGTTCTCCTCCGAGGACAGAGCCGAGTCAAGCGAGCCGGTCTTCTGCAGAATATACAGCACCGCAATTCGAGAGAACTCGACAACGTTCTTAGGAACGCCGGTAGCGGTGGGCGCCTTTGCCTCGGACTTGGATTCAAAGCTGATCTTGGTAGCGGAGGCGCTAGTCGCTGACTCGGTTTGAGTGGGTTCCGATGTGGTAGTTGACTTGCTTGGTACCGAGTCATCGTATAGAATACCGTTCAGAGTGGCCTCGGAACGGACAGCTAGGACTGGTGTTGGGTGGGTTTTGGAGACGGATGGGATCGAGTCGGCGATTGACTGCACAGATCGGCGGGTCTTGCTTGTGTTGTCGGTTGTGACATCGGTGAAAGCCACGAGCGCGTTTTCGGTCTTACAGGAGACGTCGTTCATGCTGAAAAGAGCCATGATGGTGACTGGGTCGAGGGTAATGTCGAATTTCTTCTTGGATTCCTCGAACAGAGCAGGGAGTGCACTGCCCATGGTCGCGTTCGATCCGTTATTGATCAGGGAGGTGGTGCAGCTACCATCGTCCGCAATATTGCATTGTGAGCCGGTATAACCGTTCGAACAAACACATGAACATTGGGTGCCGCCTGAGACACTCACACCTCCATTCTCACAAGGGTTCTTTTCAGCACAGGGCGAGTTCGCTTTCTCGCGGGGCACGGCGACAAGGAACACGGGGAGAAGAACGGCGAGAACGACGACGATGAAGATGGCGATGCAGATGAGTATGAAAAACTTTCGAGGAATTCCACAGCACATCTTCCTGCGTCGGGGAGCATTCGGGTCGTCATCATTGGAGTTAAGCTGCTCAACATTACGCAAGTTAGAGCGTCCAAAGAAAACGGGCCATGAGGCGCGGCCTTCGGGCGTCGCCAAACCCGGCGGGGGGAAGGAGGCGAGCATGTCCGATAGAGAGCCGGAGTTGCGTTTTCGGTTTCCTAAGCGCACACACACGAGTTAGTACCATGTCCGGATTCCACATGGTGGTCAGGATCCGAAAGACTCACCCATAGCCCTGAACTCTGCCTCACCACCACCAGCCAGATCAGCTCGGCTGGCGGTTCTTCCATGATCCAGGTTCGATGCGAGCTTTGTTGCCCTCCGAATCAAATCACTTAGGCTGGAAAGACTCCCACGAGCCTCTGCATCCCGCAACGCATGCATGTTCAGAGCAGGAGGCTTGCGACCGCCAGGCCTTTTGTCACTCATTGTTGGTGCAGCTTGAGGCAGGTCTCCCAAGGCCTCAAGCTCTTTTTCGAGCCGTGCATCGGAGGGCGAGTCATACTGGTGGATAATGGGTGGTTTTTCAGGGTCTGCGCCTTCCAGTGATTCATTCGATGCTGTAGAAGTAGACGACTTTCGTAATTGGCTTGGTTGATGGGGCATCTGGCTTGCAGTAGCTCCCGTTCCCAAAGATCGTACTGCTGTGCCCTTGGCGGAATCTTGGGGTGCTGGCATGTCTACAACGGAAACAGGGTTAGACTTCAGGATGGTACGCATCGTCGGCTTTCCTCGCTTTCCAATACTGGCATTTCGAACAAGTCTTGTATCATCCTCTTGGAAGCCTGGTGAGCGTTGGCCATCGTCTGAGTCTATGTCGAGATATGCCCCCAGAATCTCAGATTCAGCAGGGCCGGATCCCCAGCTAGAGGGGATGGCTCGGCTCGATGCGACGGAGCATTTTGTAAAGCGAGAGTCGGCGAATTCTTCTGGGATGGGCGAAACCGATGATTGGCGAGCCTGGGGAGGCCGTCGCACATTAGGCGGTGCCACAAGACCTGCAGTCCGGCTTCTGGGGTCATCCCGAGAAAGACCGGACTCGGTCGGCGGAACAGTAGGCGGGAATCGAGGCACATCGGGAACAGATGGCGTCTCAGAAGCCACAGACTGTCGGAACAAATCATCTGTTGCAATTGATATTCGAGGAGTCATGTCGATTGTGCTGGTGGGACTGGCAGGGGCATCATTTACCGGCCGGCGCGACTGCACTAGCGGAGGCGGCTGCAGTTGTGAAAAGGAACGGGGAGGTCTTGGGTTCGGACCCATGTTCCTTTCTGAGACTTGGCCATACCCTTCTGAGTAACTGGACTGGATTTCACTCGGATGAGGTGGTCTCTGAGGTTGAGGTGGAGGGCCACGAGGAGGACCACGAGGAGGACCACGTGGAGGACCTCGCGGAGGACCTTGGGGAGAGAAGTATCCAGGACGTTGATTGATCGGATGCGGTGGGAGACCCGAATCAGGAAGAGGCCATTGTGATTGATTGGAGATATCTCCAGGGATAGGCGGATGTCTCATCTGCTGGGGTGGCGAGGTTCGTTCTGGACGCACGCCGGCATCCAGCATCTGTCTGGCCCGCTTGACGGATCCTTTCCTGCCAGGCTCCCCAGAGGACCCGGAGCTTGGTAAGTCTGTGCTCATTGGAGAGTCTGGTTGAAAGAAGGCTAAATAGAATACCGGGGTGGATGCTCTTGTGTAGTTTGCAAGAAGTTAGGGCTTGCCGGGTATCAAGGGTGGCGTGGTGTAACTGCAATCCAAAAGAGGGATTTATCTCTTGAGGATCAAGGAATAGAAATGAATGATGGCTCTCGATATCTTGATCGAGGTTAAAAAGAATGAAAAGATATCGAAGGGTTGAAACGAGAGAAACGGCGTCTGGCCACTGAGCAAGTGTCTACAAGGTCGTAGAAAGTGGATAACGCAATGAAAACGATCTAGAAAGACAAGATCCACAGGATCTAGATCGCAAAAGAATGGAAGGGCATTCAATGCCACTGTATAGTCATACTAGTCAGGACCAGTTCCAAGTAATGAATGGCATTTAGAAAGACATACCGTTCAAAAAGGGGAGAAAACGAGAGGAACGAAGCGCTAGTATCAAACTGGCGTTCAAGGCTAGACGGATTAGCCCCAATCTTTGACACGCCTAGGTCGACTTACATATTCAAAAGGGGAGAGCCTCAAGCTCTTTGGAAGTTGGGAAAAGGAGAGAAGAAAAGGCATAGAGCCTGACACACGCGCCAGGACTAACACGGTTCCTGGCATGGATAGCCCACACCTCGAACGGGAAGTAGATTAATCCTAAAAACTTCAACCGACTATTAGTCCTGTAATCTAAGATGGAATACTTTATATCCGAATACTCCGTAGTCCGGACTCCGACTTCATACACACATCAAATGCCTTTCTAATGAGTATAGAGATCTATGGAGTATGGAGTACATACATACACTGGATATATGACTTTTCAGCGTCCTATCTTCATTAAAAAGAAGAAAAAAGGGAATGAAGGTCTCCTAAACATGAGACTCCCGGCTAGATTAGGCGAATCAGATCTCGAGTATGTTAGTGGGGTTGGAATTAGCCCCGGACGCTAACGTCTCACATAAAAGACTCCCTTGAGCAATTTGAAACGGTTTAATTAATATGTAATATTCTCTATGGAGGTCATACGGAATGCATATTATTAGAATAGATTGTATAGGAAATGTATAGACTTAAAAGGAAAAGGTTAAGGGGATTTTAATCCAACTCGGCTATATTGTATAACAGGATTTGCACTGAAACATCTTTAAACCTACTTGGTACTAGCCATCTTTTGTCCCCCCTTGAAAAGCTTCATGCCCGGAGTATTGTACAATTATGGCCGTGTTTCTCCGCTCTCGAGTCTCGATATATCCAAAACTAAATTGGTCTGGGCTTTACCCAGCCCCATGCACGGTTCGTTGATCATGTGGATATAGTAGGCAATCGTATTGTCCGTTGAGATGGTTCGAGGCATTTGCAACTTTCAATTTCAAACACATCTGGTCACATAAGTCTCCTTGGGATCTTAGGATCAGAATGCTCTGTGCGACTTGTCAACGTCAGCTTGACCTGCGACGGCAGACCAACCGTGCAATGTTGGACAAGGTCACGGGTGACTACAACACAGTTGCGCTTACGCCAGAGGATTCAGGTTCCAGCCGAGCCCGTAATTGGCTTATCTGCTGTTCCAGAGCTCGCATTTCGAGTGTTGTGCTAGCCAAATCCGGCACCTGATTGTCTATCGCACTTGTGAAAGAGTCTTGTGCCCTGCGCAGCGACTGAGGGACCAATATTCCATACCAATGAATTGGATCGGCAGAACGGAACTTCTTGGGGATGGGCTTTGGTTTTTCGACAGGGGTGGTTTCGGTTTCCGCAGTGTCAGAGGGTTCTGAGCTAGCCGTCTCGGCCGGGCGAGTTTCCTCGGATGCTGCAGTATGTCCATCCAGGACCGGAGAAGAGGCTTTGGTTTCGTTGTTCCCATCGGTCTCCTCTGGTGAATGATAGGACGTGGTTTTGACAGAGAATATGTATTCAGAATCAGGTAGTGTAGTGACATCTTCTTTCTCTTGCAGGTCGTTCGTGGATTTCTCCGTGTTTCGCTCGGATTGGATTACTCTGTCAATTTCGGCCAATTAACAAGCGTCAATAATTAACAACGGCGGGTGAAGTTACATCTTTCTCGCTGCTTTCATGCGACCATCATAATAATCGGGACCATAGCGACGGCCAGGGCTGGAGAAATTGGCGTGGGCGAGAGCAAAAAACCCCTACTTTGTCTCAGCATCTTTCATGCACCATGATCAACCAAGTCATACCGAAGACAGCTGTTCTGCCAGGCTTGAATGTAGTTTCTGCTGCCGATCAAGCAGGTGCAAGTACTGTTCAAGAAGTGTATCCAAGCATTGGACCGAATCCTCCAAAGCTACCGGCTTCACCTTCTCTTCAGGTGCCTCCGAGCCCGGTCGCGACGCTGGTGGCGTAGGTATTTGAGTCATGGAGATAAAGACCAAAGGTCAATGAAGAAAATATGCAAGTATTCGAATATCTGCGAAGTCGCATTTGAATAAATCCAAATGTACAAGCTCGAGATACAGAAGAAACGTGGAGCAAAGGAGCTCGGCCCCGGTAACTCCGTCATTCGTCTCCGAACGCAAAAGAATTTCCCACGTCTGCGTTTCTTCTCTCTCTTGCATACTTCAACCCACTGTCTCTCCTCCGTTGGAAGAGACTGTATTACGAGAGATAAAAAAATCATCGATCACCGTGTGATTAAATTTCCCCGGATCTTTGTGTATTGCAAGATTGAACCGCCACCTTCGATTGCGTCTTTGATACGAGTCATTGCGCCCAACGTACGTGAACCACATTTTAATATATCTCGACCTTGCAATACGAACCATAACTCTAACCAAGCGGTTCTTAGGTCGACTTTTTGCCTCAGCAACGCCGTATCGACCGCGCAACCAAGCCTTCAGTGATAATCTGGGGTTGACCAAGCAGACGTTTCGCATCACGCATCTTCGGCTTTTTGGCTCCTTTTACCATCTGAATCCTCTCCATACTCTTATTCATATCCTCAGCTATCATGTCTGTCGCCTCCTTGCATCGAGAGACTGCCTTCCAGGCACGATCCTTGGTATGTCCTCTGGCTCTATATGCGCTTCAACCTCGTGTGTTTATCCTCGATCAAACTAACTGGCATCTTTATTCCACCTAGTTCCGCTCCCTTCTGCGCTATTCTGGGCAGTTTTCCAACTACAACTTCCGCGAATACGCTCGCCGGAAGACACGGGATTCATTCCGCGAGCACCAAAACACCACAGAGGAACGCCGGATACAGGAACTGATCCAAGAGGGACTTCAAAACCTGCGCTTGCTTAAGGTCAGTGATATTACATGGCTTTTGGGGGCGAAACTCGATCGGTGGCAGATATGAGGGGTCTATTTTCAACCTCGCGTATTGCAAGTCGACGAGTCTCGCCTTACCCTATACATAGTTGAATCCAACTCTGGGGGATAATTATACTGACATCATCACAGAGACAAACGGTCATCAGCCAGTTCTACCAGTTGGATAAGTTGGTGGTGGAAGGCCAGAAGACAGTAAGTCCTATCTTTTCTTAGGGTCTCCAGCATTCAAACTTACATTATTATCTTTGAAGGGAAAGGAAACTGGGAACCATGGAGGCATTGTTCGCCAGAAGGACACTGGGTAAGTTATCTGAAGCTCCATGCCCACCTGTTTTGTATGTACTAACCTGTAGTAGTTGGGATTGATTCTTGAGGTCTGAATGGAAACCTGTAACTATTTCCATTGTGTTTGTTTCGATAATTTGCCAATGGTGGACTAATTAAACACCTCATTTTCTGTATTTATACACCCAGCGCTGCAACTGTAGCAATTTTTATCAACCAGAAACACTCCATTCCATTCTTGAATTACCATATATATTGCAATAAGTTGAACTGTATCACTTTTTATCAATCGAGGGATTACAATATATAGATGGCTGCGCTACTAAGACGCCGCATGTTCAACCAGTGCATATGTCACGTGATGTCTCTTTACAGTCTTGTAGCATCGCAACGCGCGACGGGGTTGCACTATTCCGCTACCACCTACTCCACCACATTCCGCCACAGAATCCTCCCCGGCAGGTCCCCGCAAGGTCATCACAAGCTTCCTGATCGGGCGCACTTGTCTTTGAATCGGTACAGGGGCATCTGCCAACCATGCCTTCCACGGTACGTCTCAACTTGCCCCCGTGGTCATCTATCTTATCTGGCCCCGACACGGTTGGGTCATTTCGGATACACTAGATCTTAAAATGTCTGAATTAGCTGGCTAAAATACATCACAGTTCAGAGCCTCGCGCTCAGGGCGACACCTCGACGGTGCCCCAAACCGTACCCGCACCGGCCAAATCGATCACGACGTCTTTGAGGGATTGCCAGTGCGTCGCTGGTCCCGACAACCGCACACCTTCTCTCAAGCGCCCAAACCTGTTGACTCGGAATTCGGCGTCCAAGGTCCAGGCGGAGGACCAACGCTACCAGAGCTCCCCATGCCAAGAGACAGTCAGCTCTTGCCGCCCATCAGTCGCGCACTCCTTCGAGCAGCCCGGGCTGGATGTATCCATATTCGACAAGGCAATCGACCAGCTGATGATGAGGAGAAAAGCGTGGTAGATACGGAAGAGTCAGCCTCGGCATCTCATATGGCCGATCGGAGCTTCACAACTCGCAAATGGATGACGCTTCCCAAGCACCTTGAGCCTGCGGAGGTGGAGTTTCTGGCAAAGAGGCGACCTGGTCTTTCATCCCTTTATGGCGCCACTGCTGGTACAGATGGAAGCTCTTCTGGGCCCATGAGGAGGACGAAATTTAAGAAAGTTGATCCTGAAACGGGCAACATCTCTATCTACGAGGCGTGGGTGCCTGAGGGCCATCGTATCGAAGGAGAGATCACTGGCGACTTGCAGACGATTGCTGAGCAGAGCCAAGTGCCTGTGAAGCCCGAGGCGCCTGCACCTGGAACAGTCGTCGAGGGGGTCGGCATTGTCAATGCTGAGGGTGTTGTTGTTGCAGAGGCTGGATCAGCAGCTGTAATGACACCTCCAAAGCGGCGTCCACCTCCACCTAAACGAAAGGGCAAAGGCATTGGAAAGGGCCGGAAGAAGAAGGTCATGTTTGCGCCTGGCGAAGGAGCTGATGCCGCGACAGTACATGGAGTTGGTCCTGCTCCTGGCAATGGGGAGGGCGGCATCAAGAGAGAAGGCCAGCAGGATCCTTCACAGATGTCCATTGACCAAGCTGGTCAAGATGAAGATGATGAAGACGGCGACGAGGGCGATGAGAGCGATGACGGTGATGATTCCATGATGGATGCGAAGACTCCTGATACCCCCCAGCCTCTGTCTGGCACAGAGTTCGTGGATCAGCCTTCGTTCGAAACTCCTACCTCGCAGTCAGTTGATGTCGAGATGTCAGATGCCATTTCTGAAAACCAGCATCCTGCCCCCGAGGTTTCTTCATCAAGCGAAAAGGAGAAGCAAACCCAGCCCATCGAGTCTAGAGCATCCCAGCCTGAAAAGTCCTCAGAGGTGGATTCTAGCGCCTTGGCTTCCAATGTTCCTCCAGAGAAGGCTGAGATCACCGGTTCAAATGAGAAGCCTGTCATTTCAGAGTATGACAAGACTCCCACTTCTCCCGCCAGAACTGCCGCAAATATAGCTGAACCCACCGAGCCTTCAGCTACAGTTGGCGAAGCTCAAAGCTCAGATACCACGGTGCAAGGGGGAGAAGAAGCCATAGAGCCGACAGCCGATCCTGCACTAAAGGAGGGACCTACTCTCCCAAGCCAGCAGGAAAATACGATTGCTCTGCCACCTGTCAGCCCCGCGAAATCCTCAGAAACAGGAGCACGATCTCCGACCCAAATACAGACACTTGAACATTCAGAACCGGAGCAGACCACAGTATCGACAGATGCCTTGGCGGAGACTCGGCAACCTCCGCAGATTCCAACCGAGTCCATTTCCCATCCCGACACACAAGAGAAACCCTCGGTACCCATTGAGCGCGAACAATTAAACGCCTTCAATCCTTCGGGGCCCGGTCTAAACGCAGAAGAAGCAAAGGATGTCGAGATGGGAGATGCCCCGGCACCGGAACAAAGCCAAGGGCTAGATGGCCAGCCTCCCGCGAACCCAGACTTAACTGAAGCACCACCAACCGCAGAGAATCCACAGCCCGAGCCCACTCCAACGGAGTCCACTACATCTACTTCCGCAGATGCAAGGACAGAAGTAACAACCAAAACAAGTGTTCCTGATCAAAGTGTCACCGCCGAAGCGGAGCTGCACCCAGAGTCTCGGTCTAAGGATGCCAATGACAAATCCGAATAGCACGATCCGACCCCATAGGCTGGTTCATCCGAGAGTACGTGAACCACATTTGAGGTTTCATTTTTTTGGGGCAACTAATGTACAAGGAATGACATTGGTTTTGTCTATTGTCCTTTTTGGTGGGGTTTGTTCCTCTATGTTTGTGGACAGGCGTACGGTTTTTTAGGATGATGGATCATCGTGCATCATATTGTAGGACTACCTAGTTTTATTCTTCAATTGGAACCTTTTCTTCGAACTCGCCCCGTTGACTCATTCATGCTTACTTCTCTGTTTTTCTGTGCAACGGACATTTACCATAGAGATTCTGGGTACGAACTACGGCATAGCTACAGATATGAGAAGAAAGTAGCAAGTATTGTTTTTCGATATGACAAAGGTAATTAAACAGCAAAGAAAATTAGCTAGACCAAAGCAAAGCTAACTCTTTACAAAAGGCTTCTCCGGAGAAAAGAAATTACCAGATAAGTTGCTCGATATTCTTTAGAATCTGCCATCCATGCGCCGTTGCAACTCTTCTGTAGGCTTCCACCGCCTCACCCACTGAATAGTCGATATTTGCGCGACGTAGATTCAGACGCGCAGGTCTTGGATCAGTATTGGTAATAGCCATGCGAACCTGCAACAGCACACTCTCGATCGAAGCCGTCGGTAACCAGCCCGAGTGTGTAAGCAGTTCCATGCACATAGAGCCGCCGGCGGTGATGTTGCCGCCACCTCCGGCAGCGAACTCGAGAAAACGTGGGCGAATGATTCGTACGAGGGGTGGATTCATGGGGAATTGAGGGGGGAATCGGAGCTCCAAGATGATGCTTTTCTGGTCGATATCTGTGAGGTCCTTAGCTAGTGGGAGGGTCGGATCAAACGTATGCAGTTCCACGATCCATTGGTAGACTGTTGTAATCAAGTTGACGTCGACGTACCATCCGAGCTCGTGGAGTGGCACTTGCTCCTGGATTTTAAGGGTAGCCTGGAGATGACGCTGCAGGACCTTTGTGGCTGAGGTCGTTGCAAACTGGGGCGGAGAAAGTGTAGGCAAAGAATTACCCTGTAGGGTTCCGGGTCGGAAATCGGTTTTGAGGCCAGTCTCTGGGACAGCTCTTGCTTGCAAGCTAGAACCTGGGAGACTTTCAGATGGGGGACTCTCAGACATTTCATCGTCGGATAGAAGAATGTTAAGATCATCGATGGTCGTCTCAATACTTGCACTGTCGTCATTGTCATATTGTTCGATATTTTCGACTGAATACTTGCGTCTCTTGGTGCATCTCTTAGATGACGGTACAGGGTCTGCAAGCCCAGTTTCCCTGGCAGTACGAAGAAGTTCCCCTCGTTGGCCGCTGAATATCGAGATGGGAATTTTGATCGGGTGTCCGCTGGGGCCAAGAGCCAGATAACGCCTATCTTGCTTGTACATAAGGCTTTCATCATGTTTGTATGATGATGACTGCGGTGTTAAGCTCTTGGGGATACTCCCGTACACAGATTTACCTAGTCTTTCTGCCATACCCGGTGCATTGGAATCTTGAAGCTTGACGAAAAGATACCTTGGCTGGATCCAGTCCAAGTGCTGCACGACATAGTGTGGGTTGCGGTTCACAAACTTCTGGGGGGCATTGACGACCTCGTTCAGAGAAATCACCGTCAAGAGCTTCAGTCGATTCTCGGACCATGTGGGAGGAAATTGTGTCATAGTGTAACCCAATGAGGTATAGAAGTTGTTCGACATGTAAACGCCATCACCAGACGCACGGCCATGGGCAATTCGCTTGAAGTGAAACCCCTCACGAAGAATACTGTGCCAATTATTCACAGAGCTTCCATGCCAGGCGAATATAGTAGGGTGATGGGGATTCTCGGCCAAGGAATTGGAATTAACGGCGCTGATAAAGCGCTGCTCTTTATCAGCAGCGCCTTGAACAAGTCTGAATTGGACGTAATTGCTCATTCCAACTACCTGGTGCCGGGGCTCATCGTCATCTTGTTTGATGAAAGATCGGTTTGAGGCGACAACCCAGCGTAAAAGGTCCAATCCAGCGGGAGATATGACTTCTTTCCATGATGAAAGAAGCCTGCCCCTTTCGTGACTTCCGATGAAGGTCTTCATCTCGCCTATACTAGGGAGCATTCCCAATAGATAGGAAATCATCTGCTGCTTTTTTATGGGTGTCAAATCGTCCAGATTGGTGTCGTAGACAAAAAAATGCACTTCCTGGGGCGGAGCCCGCAAGTCCTCTGGCTGCAGTTGATGGCCTTGCCTAATTGGAGGTGAGATGAGAACATGACTCGAGGTCTCACCGACATGTTCAACACGACAATGCCATTCCTCTGTCACTGCGACCGTAGCAATGACGACAATCCAATCACCAACTTTGACCAGAGTTGGCTTTTCCAACCACATTTCAAGATTGGCTATATTTAATCGTCCAATATGATATGAAGTACGATCTGCCTCTGTTTGAGGGAACAGTTTCGCAGGCACGCGCAGCCGAAGACCAGTCGGGAAGTCTTCAAGCAGCCCGGCTGAAGCCCTCGCGTATGCCAGGCTGGTCAGCAAGTCAACGACGAATGGTTGGTAGCGAATCTCGTATTCAAGGCTTGGGCCCAGGCCCAGCGCCATGTATTGATACAGGCACAACGCGTTGGAGCATACATATGGCTTTAGTGCTTCGAAGGTATCACCAGTCTTGCAGTGACAAACCAGGCAGAACTCCGTGCATTTGATAAAATGTCGCAGGGTAAATTGCATGGCAAGAAGAGGCAAAGACAAATTAGAGATATTGCGATCCAGTTCAATCATATGATCAGCCACAAGGATCTCTAGCGTCGAAGTGGCCCAGCTGTCCGACTGATGGTACTCCTCGGGAGAGATCTCGGAGCTGGCATAAATCCTGCCTTGATTTGTCTGGAAGTAAAGTTCTGCCCCGGTCCATGAAAACCCATGTTTTAGTCGAAGATTGATGATCCCAAGCAGTCGCTCTTCGAGAAGTAAATCGAGCGATCTACCAATGAACAGCGGCCTGAGAAGATGACCACACATTGTTTTGGCCGAAGTTATACTCTTGTCTTTCATCTGTTGGTCCTGTGACTCATTTATGACAGCCATGGCGTGCTCAAATGATGGCTTGTATGAATTACAGAGGCCAACATGCATCTGAACCCGTATATTCTTCGGATCACCTACTGTGTCGATAATTGCTTGGAGATCAAGGTAGGTCGGTCGATAACGGATCAGCAAAACAAAATACTCTGATGGTTCAACGCTCCAGGCATTCATAGCTTCCTGGGAAATTCCAAGCTTAGAAATGCGACAAGAGACTGTTACAATGATGGTGCCATGTGTTGACCCCAGGTATCCCACTTTGAATCCCGCGTTTTTGACCGCACGAAGGTCACGGCGAATCTTCCCTCGTAGCTCGGTTTCACTTTGAGTGGGTGTAAATAGTTTGCTTTCCTCATCAGACTCCCAGTTAGGATCGGTGTCACTGGTAGCCGACTCATCGCCGTTGAAGTCGCGAGTGCCTGGGCCCTCTAAGTGACTAGATGCTGGATCAGGGTCGATTGTCGAGTTGATGATGATATTCTCAATGTTTCTCAACAAATCATGAATGGTTAAGCCTGTAAAAAGGGGCACTGCATTTTCCAGGGAGGAGGTGATTGTCTTGGAACAGCTCTCGGACGATGAGAAGGCCAAAAAGTCATGGTCCTTGGGATAATCGTGAGAGTCTGTTTGCGTGTCAGCAAGAGACTAGAGCCTTGGAAAACAATATGATTTGGGAAATGCTTTATACCCGACACTATAGCCTGGAGGTCAAGGGTGAGGCTTGCCCCAGGTGCTGTAAATTTGAAGGAAATCGATCCATCATAGTCCCCTGTTTTGATATCAGAGAGACAGGAGAATTGGCCGGGAACTGCCGCATCTGCGAGATCACGCAGAAAGTCTTTGCGTGGCATGATAAGATTTCAGTGTGTTGAAGGCTCGAAAAGAAAGTGTAAGAGCAGAAACAATGAGACACGAAACTCGATGTGAAGGAGTTAACCCCGGAAGCATGAAACGTGTCAACAAAGGAAACAAGGCAAGAAACAAAAAAAGAAGGCTAGGAACGAGTGAAGAATACAGATCAGGGAGAGAATAGAAAAGGAGCAAGGAAACAAGGTGGGAGCTAAATAGAAACCCATAGATGGGCAACTCGGCAGCCTCAGGCCCGAATGTGGATGAACCCCACTATCTAATCGCTATCTAATCGCGTCGATCGGTCTTGGCGTCCGATCCACTGCTATAGGTACATCCATGGATACATCTACTCCGTACCTTCAATGTTCGTATACAACAGTTATTTCTTAACTATTGTCAAGAGGGAGGATTAAATTTCACTTATATAAGCCCTGTATTATCATAGGCCAATTGGACAAAAATGTCATACAACCTTTCTGATTACACGTAGTAGGATAAAGTTACTTATATAAAGCGATAACCGTTGTTGATCTCTTCTACCACGAATATGTTAAGGTTAACATCAGTATTTGGGAAGGTATATGTTTTATATTGAGGAACACTGCAATGTTAATATCTATGAATAGAGCGTTTCTAGTCTGGCTGAATGTGAAGCATGCATATCGGGCTAGGCAACTGCATCTTGCATACTGATTACCAAGGACAAAAGTACAAGTTCGCATTCGAGGACTTCCTCGTGAATCATTTCCATTAGAAGATATCATAGATGGGACTTGAAACGCGCAGTCCAAGACAGGGCGAGCGCCATTTTAAAATGATTCTAGTAAATTTTAGTGCATGAAAGAGCCTAGGTGCTTCCCTTATACCTACGGTAAGCTATAGAGAAAGGATTCGCTAACATACTATCTTGTGACTATAAGTTTCAAGGCTAATCCTTGATTTTGATGATTGGACAATTCAACAGGTGCAAAATCCTGTAGGCTTGACGTTCAGTTTTGAAACAATTTTAATGTCAGCATTTTAAGCTGATATAGTACATATTTCAAATTAGGTGTGCTTAAAGCACTACCTGTGCTGAAGGGGACTTCGAGATGTTCAGACATATATCATTCTTAACAATGTTATCACGAACCCGATATGAGGATACATTTGTTGAAACTCGATACGTAAATCAAATTTTGAATCAACATATTCGAGCAATGGGTGTGGTGGATGCTCAGATGTTCTTTTCAAGGTTGTTTATAAGCGTCTACGGAAGTCACGTGCCGCATACACAAGACAAACAGGACAAACAATTATCAATCACGACGTGCACATACGTAAAGTAAGGCTTCATCAATCTCTAACCTTTTTGGTGGTTCAATCATGTTGCCTCCTCGAAGTGCCGTCGGTCGAATACCGAGTCACATCCGATTGACCTATCTACCTCGGATCTCCTATCCCAACGTTCATCTCCGACCATTCACCCATCGTACACGCCTACTTCTTCTTTCTCCAGCGCCGGGTCGCCCCCAACTGCCTTTCCTATCACCGCTTGCGCCGACCCGTCCACTCCCACCGCTATCAATCCATCTCCGTCAGCATTTCGGTCGCTTAATATCTACTGAAAGCCGGGAGCATTACAAGAGAAGGGTATCCCGAGGCGTCAAGATCGGCCTATCGGTGTCCGCCATCCTCGTCTTGTTCTCCGCAATACAGCTCGGTGTTTATCAAGAGGACATCGAACATTCATGGCCCACTCCACCGGAATGGTCTTGGAAAAGCCGCTGGTGTTTGCGATCCGCGCAGGCACTGCAGAATCCCGAGCAGATTGGCAAGCTGATGACGAATTGGCCCATGGTCGCTGGGTATCTTCGTGAGCTGCTGGAGCGTCTCGAGAACCTAGATGGCGAAGGCAAAGGTCTCAAAGAACAAGATGAGGGTGGATTCCTAGTTGAAGGCATCGGCCGGACTGGGTTCGATATCTCCGCAAAGAGTGAACCTTGGCGCCGCGGATACTTCCAAGCCCTGATGGGCGCTGCCAAGGCTGCTGAGAATTTGGACGGCTGGTTGACAGATCGCAATCAGAAGATATCTGCGCCTGCGGAGTATGTTGTTGGTCCCTCAAACCCTCGGCCAAAGCCCATGCCCGCTGGTCAGAAGAAGGTCCCACGGGAAGAGGACTGTGAGCAGGCGTCTCCGTCTCCGGAGCGTTTCTACATGAAGGTTTTGACAACCAAGGGATTTGATACAAGGCAGAAACTTGATGCTGCCTTGGCCTATGCTGATTGGCTTGATTTCAAGGGCTTGGGACTCACGGCGGGTGACATGTATACGTGGGCCTTGGACATTGCTGCGAGTGGGCTGGAAGGAGATGCTAGCAAGATTGTGGATTTGAAGAACGGTCTCTTAAAGAATAACAGCGGAAACCTACCTTCAGAGAACATCCTCCGTGTCTCCACGGCCCTCGCCGTTCACAACGCTCGTCAAGGCAACCTTCCAACAGCTTTGTCCCTCTTCACATCTGTTCTCAAAGCCCGACGCAGCCTCCCTCTGTCGCCAGACTCTGATATATCCTCCTCTTTTCCGACTATGCCTAGATCTAACAATGACCCATTCGCTTCCCTCTTCAAATCGCTCAGAAATGTCCTCATTCCCGTGGAATATCCAGAGCCCCTCCCATCAGGCAACGAACCTCCACACCGCACCGCGGCATCCGCCTGCGAAGAAGCGGGATTGATGACCTACATCGGCGAGATCTTGTACGCTTCCTCGTCAAAGGAATCCGGCCTTGCCTGGACGCGCGATGCAGTCGACATGGCCGAGTCCACGATGCTCGACCTCGGCAATTCAGCCGACCGCACTGCTAGAACTCGCTGCGCACAGTGCCTGAAAGTTGGGCTGGAGAATTGGAAAACCATGGTCTCTTCATTTGTTACCCGTGCTCGACGAGAGGAGCAAGAGAGCAGGGATCAGGCCAAGGGTGCTTGGTTTGGCGGCGAACGGCGCGCAGAGGCGAAGCGTCTTGATCGTCGACGATGGGAGGCTGAAGATGCTATTCTGGAGGATCGGATTCGTCGCCTCTTCCCTCTCCTCGAAGGTGAGTCTGGTCTGGATCTCCTCGCTCCAAATAGCTCTTTGTTTGTGTAATGTTATTATTTACTTTCATATGTGCCTGGACATTTCAGCTTGTGGAGTTGAGGTTACTTTTAAACATGTATAGACTACGTTCGCCATGGTATCACATTTCCACTTATATCAAACCCTCTCAAGCTTTACGGATCTACAGCACACCGAGGTAGGCAAATCGACCTTGGGCAGTATCGACTACTGTGATACAAGTGTGCATTTCCTATCATTGACTCTGGACCAACTCGACTAGTCTAGTCTATACCATAAAAGACAATATATGTTTATTCGGTGCGTGAATCATTTCTCATTGTTATAGTCCTTTTTGCGCGGTTCATAGGCTTAGGCCATTCAAAAAGCATGTGGAGACGTTGTTGCTATCTTCAAGCCTTGACGCTACAGTAATTTCATGGCCTGGGTTCTACCTCATTGTGTTAATATGCGTCAACCTTGTCGGCGAGGGCTTTATATATATAGCTTGGTGGCTTCTAACAAGTCAGACTAGTAAAATGGGATATGTTGTAACATTCAGAGTACATGGTTCTAGGGAAGCACCAGTCGAGGCGTGTCCTCTTCAAAGAGCCTGGTCGTAATATCTACGTAGCGGGGTGAGCGATCATGATCATCAGCTGATCTAGGTTTGGATGTAGGTTTTGAGACAAGTAGACATGTGCTCCAAAAAGAGACGAAAGAAATAGCAGCAAAAATGAACGTTGAGTAGTACATAGTAAGTTTCGCCTCGTTCTGTCAACTGGACTTTCAGCTCCCCAAGCATTTGACTGTGTTTCAAGCCTAGAACAACAGTGTGATATATGTACATGGAAAAGCCAGCCCTAACACGCACTCAATGATTTCCTGGCGGGATTCGAAGGGGATTCTCGAGTATGTGGAAAGATTACAAGCGACCTAATTTAGGTAGCCTTGTCCTTGTTGTGGTAGTTGACATCGGAGTTCCAGCTATAGATCATGAGTTAGTGCTGATTTTCAGGGGGTGACATAGTGGTGAGAGAATATCATGCGATCCACTTGGAGACATATTTAAGATTGCAGGAGCTAGATGTGGTGGGCTCGGGGAAGTCGGGACTCACAAAATGGTCTATACCAGACATAGATTAGCTTGACTCTTCAGAATATAGCATAATTAGATTCACATACCTTATCACCGTCTCCCCAGGGGAAGTTCTTCGAGCGGATGTTCTGGTAAGGGTACTCGGTGCGCTCCTCAAGCGGGGGCATGTGCTCCCAGTGCTCCCAGTGCTCGGACCAGAGGTTGTAAGCGTTGATACCGCCACCAATCAGGCAGGGAATCACAGCACTGTGGAGTGGTTAGATTTCTCTCTATTGGCGAGGGCGTCAAATCAAGGATTGATCTGGATTGGAAACGTACAAGATGGACAGCTTGCGCCAAAGGTCTGTACAATCATAGGGTCAATAACAGATATTGTCTACGGGCAATGACCATGGGGCAGAGTCAATTAAGTTCACTTGTGACGGTACGTACCACTGGTAGAGGCAGCATGGTGCTTGACGGCAGCTCTCTCGCGGTTGAATTCGTTGTCGACGATCCAAGAAGGCTTGGCCTCGGCGCTGTTGAAACGGCGCTGGATGGTGGAGCGGACCGGAGCGGAACGCATCTGCTGCGAAACACGCTGGGACAGGCGACCAAGATTGCGCTGAGGGAACATGGTGGGTGATGCTAAAGGAGTTCTTTTGGTGGTGGAGGTCAAAAGTGGTGCGATGAGGTCCAAAGCCGTCTTTAGCGCATCCCCGTGATCTCCCGGATTACGTAACCTGATGTCATGGTGCCTGACATATAAGGCAAAAGCAACACCCGTTCTTAACTAGTCACGTGGCTGCTTTGTGATATGTATGGACGTCGGCATGCACGCTCTCTAGCACCCGTGACCTAGATTCAATAACCAGGGAGTTATCATCCTTGGTTGACCCGACTTTTTCAATTTGTATCCCGCCCTCTCTTGAACATTTGTGTCGCAAAAAAAAAAGCTACATTGTCCCCTGTAATAGCGTCCAACATGGGGGTTCGCATCACCACATGGAATGGTAAGTTTTATCTGAGTTGTTGGTGGCAATTGAAGTGGTAAATACATACCAACGATGCATCAATTTCTAGTCAATGGTATACGGTATGAGAAAAACCCGCTGGTTGCACTTGTTCAACACTAATGTAGCAAACAGAAATCCATTCTCATATGAGCCATGGAGAGGAACGCGCACATTCGAGGTAACTCTGCATCCTTCCATTTCCTGAGTATGCCGAGCTTATTTGGCCCAAAGTCCATGTTTGATACACTAGAGGCGGATATTGTAGTTCTCCAAGAAACCAAGATCCAGCGCAAAGACCTCCGTGATGACATGGTCTTAGTTCCAGGATGGGACTGCTATTTTAGTCTCCCTCGAGTAAAAAAAGGCAAGCTACTATTCTATAGCTATCTATACAGGATACTAACAGCCTTTAGGATACTCGGGTGTTGTGATTTACACACGTAATGCCACATGTTCTCCAATAAGGGCAGAAGAGGGCATTACTGGAGTTCTCTGTCCACCGAAATCCTCAACATCTTTCCGCAGTCTTCCAGAAGAGCAACAGATAGGCGGATACCCAACATCTGATCAGCTTTTCAGGCCTGCTATGAATCCTGAAGGGCCTGACTCGGAAGAGGAGCAGGATGTGAGCTCGGCACCCGATATCAGAATAGATGCACCAACCCTCGACTCCGAAGGGCGATGCGTCATTCTAGAGTTTCCTGCGTTTGTCCTTATCGGTGTCTATTGCCCTGCCTATCGGGATGAGAGTCGGGATAATTTCCGCATGGACTTTCTCAATGCCCTAGATTCTCGAATCCGCAACCTGACTGCGATGGGGAAGAAGGTGGTCGTGACTGGGGATATAAATATTTCGAAACATGGTATTGATGCCGCTCATGGAATCGAAGCCATACGAAAAGGTACAATGACAGAGGAGGAATTTGTATCTAGCCCTTCTCGGCGTCTATTCAACCACTTGATATCGGATGGCGTCGTTATCGGCGAACGCGATAAAGGCAGGGAAAATCCGGTCCTCTTTGATGTCTGCAGGTCATTCCATCCAGATCGTACAGGCATGTATACATGCTGGGATCAAAAACTCAATGCTCGGCCAGGGAATTACGGCTCAAGGATTGACTATGTGTTGTGCAGCTTGGATATGCAGAACTGGTTCTCCGACTCAAATATTCAAGAGGGATTGATGGTATAGACTTAGCCCCTTTGTGTTGCGAATCATTAATTGACTGCTTTACAGGGATCGGACCACTGTCCTGTATATGCTGTCATCAAAGAGTCTGTAGATCTGCCCAGAGGCGAGGTAAACATTCGGGATATTCTCAATCCACCGGGAATGTTCAACTGTGGCAAGCGCCAACAGGAATACTCAAATGAGTGTGTATTGCCCGCTTCGGGGCGTTTGCTCCCCGAATTCGACGTTGATAAGCGCAGAAGCATCAAGGACATGTTCGCTCGCAAACCAACCAGCATTCCGTCGGATTCGGTAGAAATAGCCGCTACACCGGCTAACATGCGCACAACTCAAGCCACGAGATCTACAGCCGTGCACACAGCCTTCGGGTCCACTGACTCGGCCAAAAAGGTTTCTACACCTACCGTCGAGAGGAATCAGCACCCCCAGACTGTTTCTCGCAAACGCTCCCAGCCTCTACAAACCACATTCGCGAAACGCTCCAAGTCCTCTATATCAACACCTTCCGGGGGCTCCGCGGCAGGCCAAAAGTCATTGATGGGCTTCTTCAAGCCAAAAGCTGCTAATGTATATGAAGCTACCCGGTCACCCGTCGCTTTACCGGCACCGCCGACACCATCACTCAACCACAAACCATCAGAACTTCCACAAGAGAAAGGGAAAGCTCCAGCACCCAACCCGCAGCCTCCAGGGCCCCAAGAAGACGCCATTAGAAAGGACGCTGACACTTATACCGAATGGCCGACGGCCGACATGTTTGTTGATGACACAATAATTGACCCCATTGTCAGCAAGGAGGACTGGTCAAAGCTTTTCACCAAGAAACCCGTCCCACCTTGCGATGGACATCAAGAGCCGTGTATCAGCTTGACCACGAAGAAACCCGGAATGAATCGCGGCCGATCCTTTTGGATCTGTCCCCGGCCATTGGGACCTAGCGGAGAAAAGGAAAAGGGTACCCAATGGCGGTGTCCCACATTCATATGGGCTAGTGACTGGAACTCGCCGTTTGCAACGCAGGAGCAATAGAATAGATGTCCTAGGAAGGCAATATTCCTTTGTAGTTAACAGACTTGCCGAATATTCCACAACTGGGTATCCATTTTCAATTCTGATAATCATACGTTCATTATAGAGTCAGCGGGGTTGGTGGTTAGATACTGAGAGCCCTGGTAACCATATACTGCTCCCCAAGATAGATGTATGTATATTTATTATATGGCTATGGATAGTGCTTCCCAGAGTCTCTTTCTTATTCAATAAAATACTCTGTCAAGGAGCAAGACACTTGACTTGGTAATTTCATTTGAAAGAGTAGTGTACCCAAATAGCAGCATGTAGCGGACATCAATAGCCGGAAGGTTCACTCAAGATTTCTAGTTCCCGACACCTCAGCTGCTTTGGGTCTGAAGCACTGGCGTTGGCTGTTTACCATCTTACCCTTGGTTCTATTTTGGGATTGGCTGCCAGTTCTTTGTGCCCGTCCTTATTGTTCTTATTGTTCTTATTGTTCTTATTGTTCTTATTGTTTCTTTGTCTCTTTTATCTATTGATCTATGTTTTAAATGAATGTCTGCCTTTGGATGATCTTTTTTTTGTTTATTTCTCTGATTAGTTAATTGATTTCTTTGTTTGATTTCCTTATATGTACTAGTAAGGTACTCGTTTGCTTTATTTCTTTTTTTTAAATTAATTAATCAAATTAATCGCCTTGTTTAATTTCCGTATACGTACTAGTAAGGTGCTCGTTTGCTTTATTTCTTTGTTTAATTAATTAATCAAATTAATCGCCTTGTTTAATGTCCGTATACGTACTAGTAAGGTGTTCGTTGGATTTTTTTTGTTTTACCTTTTCGTTGCTATGGGGTTTGGAGGTACATCTTGGGTAAGTACCCTTTCGGCACTCTCGTGGACGAGAATGGATCTTAGGCTTTCTCCCATTTATCATAGCCTTAATCATTATTCATAAAACTGAGGTTCTCTATATAATTAGAAACACACTCACCATATAGTTCGGAGCTATTATGTGTGACTCTGATATGTTTTAAGGTTATGCGTGGCAGCGGGCGCTAGCCCCGGATCTGCAGTGCCACGTGCGGAAGTTAGGAAAATCCACTCACATACATCTGCCCATAGCACAGATCGAAACCATATGTTAATGACTTATCACATAGTAATTATTGCCTAGATAAAGAAGCTATTCGTTAAGAAATATTTGGTTATGACCCGAATGGCCGAAGTCTATAGGAAAACCAGTATATACGTCCAGGTATACAATATTGTGCGACCTGGTTGTCGAAATGGTAGTTGAGACCAAAGTAACTCTTTTCTGTAGTCTTACCCTCCACAATTGACTTTCTTCGTTCTACTGGTACTATTCCCAATAAAGAAGTCTCTCTTGAGATAAAACCATGTGATTGGTGTTGCTGCGCAAACAAAGAAATACATGTTTCTCACCTACCTCTATGATTGGTGTTGCCGGGAAACAAAGAAAACACCTAACTCGTCACCCACCTTATTACGAAGCCTCTGCTCCTTTCTTTTATTTACCTCCCACTTTGTTTACCCTTCTTTCCTTTCTTCTCTCTCTCGACCCCGTTTTCTTTTTCTTTCACCTCACACCCGAAACCCCAACTCCTGCCTTGTCTTCTCGTTCTGACTACTTCCTACATTATTCAACATGTCCACCGTCTGTAGTGTCCAGATCCCCCCCGGGGTACGGTCCTGTTCATCTCGAGATGCTTTTATTCCGATACATCGAAACTTTGTCCCTCCAACACGCCCTTAGGGTGCTGGAACGTTGGCCAGAGAATTCCCCCGTGGGACAGTATGCGGCTAAGGTGCTACGCGAGCTTCCCGCAAACTACTTTCAACAGCCCCGACTCCTGCCCACTGGGCCACGCTTTGTCTTTACGAATGGTGCTCTTGAGCTGAAGCGTATTGATCAAGCTCTTCCTATGCAACAGCTTCATCCAGACTCAACCACCGGATGTGTCGGAGATGTGATGCAGAATGTTCTCGAGTCCCCAATTCAGCAACGACGTCTGCGACCCCTAAACTCTTTTATGATATTTAGGAGTAAGTAGCAGCTTTGTGATCATTGATTATTCGTTTCTAACAGTACTTTAGGTTTTTGTGCCCCGATGTTCCCCGGCATCCCTCAGAAGCTGAAGTCGATGGCTATCAGTGAGATGTGGCAAGATGACACCTTGAAGGCTCACTGGGCTGTTCTTGCCAAGGCGTACACAATCATTCGAGATCATTTCCATGTCGACGCTCCTTCGCTCCCTGTATTTGTTGATCTTTGCGTACCTTTGATTGGTCTTCTGACTCCTCAACAATACCTCACCCTGTCTGGCTGGCAGATACAACCCGATGGAAACAGCCTCAGTCTACGGAAGTTCTGCTCGTCAACTTTGGGTACTTTCGACCCCCCACTTGTCTCTGTCGATGATGTCGTGAAGCACTGCACTGAGAACAACTACGCTCAGGTACGTACTGAGGAATGGACCAAGCACATCCTCCCAGATGGAGCTGTGTTCGCGGTGGAGCCAAGCTATCGTGGCACCATCCAGGAACCCCAGGACTGGGTATTCGACAACGTTCCCCAGTGGCCAATTGAAGAGTTCGAGGTTGAAGAGATGTACTCTACCCTTGATACCGAGCGCGATCATGGTCTTCCCGTCATCTATGACCCCGATGCAGAGAACCCTTTCGCTACTACCATGGCAACCGTCAACCAGCTCTTTGTGTAGAGCTTTCAAACGTCTGCTCACACCCACCGTCTTCTGATATGACTTCTTCTCAACCTCGATTCAGTTCAGCGACACATGACATGACCACCACCAACAACGCACGATCAACAATTTCATTACCTTGTCTGTCTCCTTTCGCTGACCGGTCATGGTAATTCACGAAGATATGAGGGCTACATCCATCAATATTCAAATTTCGTTTCTCACCTGCAACTCGGAAAAAAAAAACGAAAAAAAAAACATGAAAAAAGAAATCTCGAAAAAAAAAGTTGCTTTCTTTGCTTTTTTGCTTTTTCTCTCGCACAATTCTCCTGTATTATTAGCTGGTTCTGTTTTCGCTCATGGCAAATTCTTAGGAGCTGAGGTGGCCGGCTTTCTTTCCCACGGGGTTTACCGCACGCCGCCTCTTTTCCTACCATTTGAGCTTTTTATGTACTTTAAATTTTCAATTCAATTGATTTTTGCACAAACTGCTTCCTCTACTGTAGTATCTAGAATCGTAAATGGAGAATCTCGAGGACATGATCGCATGTTTTTACATTATGAGTAGTCAGTACAATACTTCGACAACCATTCCTTCAGATTCCATGCTTTCCAGATTACGGATCAGACAATCCCATGATTTGGAGTCTCTTCAGTTCTATATCTTTGATCTCGAGGCTCTGACCGCACAGCGACACCCAGACACTCGGTACTTTGTCTCCGTGCATGAGGTGACGTTTCGATAGTCTTTGCTGACAGCCGCTAGTCGGCTCCACCCGCGGATCGGCATACACTGCATCCATGGTTCTACCCGTCGGGTGTGGGGACAAGGCTTGGCATGAAGCGTCGAGGGGACACGTAGGAAGCGAGACGTGCATATCCGACCGTGCGACCGTGCGCTTTGAAGGGTTGTCTACTGGAGTCACAACGTGGACACATGGACAGTGGATATATGCACTACGATGATTTAGAGAACTGAGTAAGTTGCTTTCATTCGCTATATCAAAAATAAGACACTAACTACGAGGGTTGGGGAGAAGGGCCGAAGAACGCAAAGTGCGACACGAACGGGACAAGACTCCCCGAAATTGGGATGCGGAATATACACAGACGGCGAAGAACGAAGGCAGATGCGACTTCCCTAATCCTCCTGGTAGGAGATCTTGCGCATTTCGCCCAGACGTTGGCGTGCGCGAGCGAGACCGTTCTCGAGTTGGAGGATTTCGACCTGTTGGAAGAAGACATATCAGTACTGGATGAGAGGGACACAAAGGGGGAGGAGACGTCACATACCTGCTGCTCCATCTCGCGGACTTTGAACTCGTGTGAGCTCAACTTCCCATAATCTTCTCCGTCGTCGCCGTCGCGGTTCTTCTCCTTGATGATGTCCTGTACTTGTCGCACAAGGGCACGGCAAGCGGCACCAACAGCCTTGCTGGCAGTCTCCAGGCGGTCCTGGGTCTTGCTCATAAATGTTGCCTTAACACGACTGGCGGCGACAAGCTGGGCAGTGCTGGCTGCAACATCGTTGGAGGCGACAATGAGTTGCTCTGGCGAGTTACGGCCCGAGATTACACCGTCGGCAGTCTCAATTAATGTGTTGGTCGAAGACGCAACTGCTTTGGCAGCAGAAATCAATCCCTCTGTCCAGCGGTTGTTCTTTTTGTAGAAGGCAGTGCGAGATGAGCTACCACGGCCTTCGCGGACAATCTCCTGCTGGGTCTCTGTGGCGGCCTTGATCAGCTCCGAGATTGCGTTGGTGACGGCAATAGCGGCGGCAAGGATGACATCGTTGATACGCAGCTCGTAGGTCGAGTACCCGTCTCGGGGCTTGTTCTTGAGCTTGGCCAGACGCTGCGCAGCTGCGTCAATGGCATCAGCGGCCTTAAGCAGTTCCTGGTCGACAAGGTCACCCAGATCACCACTGGTGCTGATCTTGGTATTCTTGGGGGCGAACGAGTCAACCAGCTTCGACAGGGACTGCAGATCACGCTGGACTTCGAGGTTATTGTTGATAACCACATCAGTCTTCTGTAGTGGTTCCAGACCTTCCAGACGGAACGACTGCAAGCCGCGGAAAAACCGCACGGTCGCCTGAGCAGACTTGCGAGCAGCGTTAATCAGGTGATCGGAGCTTTTGTCGTCGTTGGCAAAGCGAATGAGACCCTTCGTATTGCTCAACACATCCGAGACAGATCCAGAGAAGATGGACACTGTGCGGATAATCTCAGCATGGGGACTGTTGGGGCCATCGGCGATGAAGTTGTTGAAAGCGGTGGAGAACTCGGTCGCAGAAGCCGACGCTTTTTCAATCTGCGAAAGCACATATGGAGGAGAGGCATTTTGGTTACCAGCCTGCATGGACGAGTCCAGTTCATACAGCGCATCGTCGACGCGCTGCACACCAGTCTGCAGCACAGAGTCGATAATATCGTTAATCTTCGCGACTGCGCCGTGGAGTACAGTGTCAATCTGGCTGTCCAGCGCGTGGTCGACATCGCCTTGGCTCTATAGGGAACATGGTCAGTATGCAGTCATCGAACGTTGTCAAGACCACCACTTACCAGTCTCAGTTCCTCCAGTTCCATAAGAGCCTGTTCCATACCAGACTTGTACACCTCAATCTCCTCGTCTTTCTCGCGAAGAGACAGGTCGAGGTCTTCCTGGCGGTCATTGTTGCGACTGGAATGTTCGTCCAGTGCGCGTGTTTTAATCTATAGGGTCAGCATGGATCACACACCTAAGCAAAATGAACAGTTACTCACTCGAAGGGACTCTTCTAGGTCAGCCATCTCGCGGTTATACTTGGACAGCAAGGACGAGATCTCAGTGCCCTTTGAGCGTTCTGCGTTCTCGGCACGCTCAAGAGCCATGCGAAGCTCGCGCTTGACCTTCTCCAAGTCATCTTTGTTCGTCCCCGTTAGACGGTCCCGGTCATGCAGAGCACGGTCACGTTCGCGAATCATATCAGCCAGCTCCAAGTTCTTGGTCTTCAGCTCGCGCTCCAGCTTCTCTCGTCGGTCAATTGCCTCTTGTGCAGAAGCTGCCTTGAGCTTGAGGCTCTTTGTGGTCTGCAGAAGATCGAGGTGCTCTTGTCGAAGCTGTGAATACAGCTTGGCCAATGCCTCGTACTTGGATCGCCAGGTGTTCACCTGCTCCTGTAGTGATCGTATCTGATCATCCTTCGAGGCATTCTGCAAGTTCATGTTCGAGTTCAGGTGGTTCATCTGCTCCTCAACCTCTTTCACGCGGCGGTCGTATTGTTGCAGCATCAGCTGGTCGCGCTCATACTGTGCGCGGGCATTCAAGTTTTCCTGCTCTAGCTCTGCGAGCCGACCTTGGGTTTGTGTCTGGTACTGGTCGCGAAGAAGCTGCTCCTGGGCCAAACGCTGCTGTTCCGCCTGCAGACGCTGCTGCTCCTCGAAATCATTCTGGGCTTGCTGCTGGGCGAGGACTTGCTGGCGTTGCTGATCCTCCCACTGCTGCTGCAAGCGTTGCTGTTCCGCCTCATACTCTTCCTGCTGGCGTTTAGCTTCGTTTGTCCAGAAATCATTTATCGGCTCTGGTTCAGCAGCGACCTTCGGTGGCGGCGAGGGCTGGTGTTCCACTTCTTTCGCCGGCCGTCTGGGAAGAGCTGGGCGATCGTCATCTTCGGCAAGCAAACTTGGCGGATCTTGTGGCAGCTTCGGGATAGTGATGAGACCTGTCAGGTACCGCAGGTTGGAGCACTCATAGTAGAACCGAACAAGACGGTGGTGCTGGGCATCATATCGGCCTCGGAGTGGCTCCAGAGCTTCGTCCTCTCCGGTCGCTGCGAGAACTATCAGTCAGCGGCTAGTGAGGCAAATCCAAGGACCAAAGACAACATACTTGTGTGCATAGCTCGCAGCATGCTGGTGATGAACTTGTAGATTCCATAACTCTCCTGCACAAGTGGCACTAATGCCGAGATCCGACATTCATTGTTCGTGCCGGACTGGAAGTTCGAGAAGATGAGCTTTTGGAAGGAATCGATTTGATCTTGCAGAGCCATCAAATCGGTGATGGTCTCGTAGCTGTCTGGCTGTCAACACTGCTATCCATAGTCGTATAGAGTAGTGATGTACGCACCCTTCGTTCGGATCATTGATTGACTTCAAACTAATGTACTCCTCATACTCAAACAAGCCTGCCATTGTCAGGGACGCGCCCGTCACAGAACTGGTCAACCGTGGACGACTTACCGTTGAATTCGGGGTGGTTGCGGTGGAAGTTCAGTTTCGCCTCGAGGAAGAAGACGTACTCGCGAATAAGTGGTGCATATCCTATCCAGACTGTCATTATGCTGTCCGTCGCGTGCGTCGCCACTCCTCGAGCAGAGAACAATTGCGCTGTCGTCCTGCGTGGATTTCATACCTCGAACGCCGTCACCTCCGACTCCTCGCATCAGGCTATCAATCCAGTTGGAATGCTGCTGCGCCTCGCGGACAACCATGGGGTGGCCCTCCTGGAGGACCTTGTGTATCGTGATCAAGGCTTTGAACGTCTGGACCTCGTCGGCGAGGACGGGCTGCCTATAAAGAACGAAGCCGTGTCAGTCATCTCGATAATAACAGCCCCTTTCCATTCCTGTTGAATATCCCAAAACGTACACTTTCATGCCAGCCCAGAAAGCCGCAGATGACTTGTGGTCCCACGTATAGACGATGCAGCTCCGCACATGTTTCCCTACAGGCGCGGGGGTGGTCAGTTCGATTCGGACGGGGCAAAGTCGAAGCGGCATCAATCGGTTCGATGGAAAGGAATAAAATATGATCAGGACGTACGTTTAGGAGCAGTTTCCTCTGTTGGTTGTTAAATTGTTAGCTCATCATGCCCACTGTCCCGCATTGGTCTCATCCCCGATTAACGACTTACCGATACTGGTGGCCTTGCGGATATTGATGGCCAAGTCGGCCTCGGTCCTGCGCAATCCATTATCAGACACGCACTCTTAGAATATCATGTCGGTCTTGCTTACCGACTCATTGTGGCCGTTG